TTTTTTTTTTTTTTTTTTTTTCAGTTAAAAACATGACTTTCCATGTAACAGCTCAAGTTCCCCTCCACTGGATGTATTTTAGGCACTGGTGCTTCCCCCACCCCCAAACTCCCACTCTGCTCTGCCGACCCGCTTTTCAACCAACAAGGGATGCAACGGAGAGACTCAGCAGAGACAGGCAGAGTTAGGTCACAAATCAGAGAGATGAGGTATTCACATGTGGGCAGTTTCAGAGAGGATTTGTTCAGCGAAACAGACACTGAATTATTCAAGTCAACAGGAGCATTTATGGTACCTAATGAAAGGCCGCAAGGATCCCATGGAACAAACTAGGGCCAGTTTGTTACATCGGCCAAAAGCAGTGAGAGCCCTACTTAGTTAATCGACCTTACAAATAAACTGAAGGGCGATTTATGTTCATTGTAAAATGTGTCAACATTTTCCAAAATAAACTGCCTTGTGTTTGTGAAAGCTCCCACTATAAATTTGGTAGGATTAGCTACTGTGCCACCCAGAGCTGAAGAGTACAAACAAGGTAACGGGAAATTCTCCTCTGAGCCTGGGATGGTCCTGCCAGGGTTCAAAAGACTATAAATCTATTCATTAGTAAAAGCCAAAGTTATATGATACAAACTGGTAAGTCTTCCCATTAACAGTATGTGCCAGAACAACAGTAGTTCAGCCATTAAAAAAATTAAACTCGGAAACCCTCATCAACATAGAATCATAGTTTCCAGGCTACTTACATCAGTGTCAGGTCCTTTATCCGCACCCGGACAAGAAAAAGTAACAAATTCATGGCACCTCTTGTGAACCACAAAACAGCAAACTGGTGGAGAGAAAAGAAAACTAAAATTAGTAAAGTCTAGATTGAATATACAAAGCTTTGTTTTCCAAACAGGGCTACATCCTGTCATAAGTCAATTTAATTTCACTACAGAAAGAATCTCATAAACAGTAATCAGAAGGCATTTCATTCAAGACTCAGCAGCCGCATTTGGTTTTGGGTTTTTTTTTAATAAATTTATTTATTTATTATTTCTTTTTGGCTGCGTTGGGTCTTCGTTGCTGCACGTGGGCTTTCTCTAGTTGCAGCGAGCAGGGGCTACTCTTTTTTTTTTTTTTTTTTTTTTTTTTTTATTTTTTGGAGGTGTTGGGTCTTCGTTGCTGCACATGGGCTTTCTGTAGTTGCTGTGAGCAGGGGCTACTCTTTGTTGCAGCGCGTGGGCTTCTCATTGCAGTGGCTTTTTTTTTTTCCGGGGCTT